GTAACCATGTGGAATAAATGTGTACTTTTTAGTTTTGGGGTTTTTTTGCAAGTTATGGAAGTATTTAATTTTAAAGATAGATTCTAGGAGAATAACTAAATCCATGCAACTCAAGTATTACAGCAATAGTACCTCTCACTTAAACGGCACTTAAATATATAGTTTTAATTCTGACCTCAGTACTCCCAATGGAAAGATGACAAAAAATAAAAGTATATAATTTCTGAGGATTAAATCTACTGTTTGGATATACTCTGGACACACCAAAAATATTGATTTTCATTATAAAGATCTCCATCAGAAATTAATTTCTCCTCCACTGTCTGAGTCAAGGGAAATAAATGAACATAAATTCCTTCTCTTCCAGAAAGGAAAATTTGCGTCTATTTCTTCAGATGTGTTCAGCACTCAATAAACCTTCCAGTGGGTCTCGAAGCCTCAGCTCCTCTATATGCTCAAGGGTTTCTGCTGCACCCAGCACCCAGGCTGACACAGACAGTGCAAGAGCTGGGAGGTAGGTTTCAGAGGACCTGTGCACTCCAGAGGGATGGCACTGGGTGAAAGAGAATTTGGGAGCAGCATCAGCAGATCTAATTGATTGCTTCAGTGTGGCAGTAATAATTTTAAATATCCAGCATTTAACATTCAAGAGGCTTCTAGGCTTGCTTATTCAGTATATACTTGGAACAAAGTAAAACAAATGAAAACTGTTGCAGCATTAATCTAAGTTTCTTGCTGTACAGAGATATTACTTATTCCAGTTTTTCACCACAGACTATGAGTAACTCACATCATTCACAACAAATAATAATGACCTTCATCTCTGCTGCAAACTAAGAAACCACCTTTGTACAGCCTAATTCCCACAACACAATTAAACCATAGGAACCCAATATTTAATTTAGCAAAGTTATGTGTTTAGTTGAAAATAAGTTCTGCTAGTGCGTAACATGAGAAGTGCAGGCAGAAATTTTCAGAGCAAGAGACAGCCTTCCAGTCCAACTGCTTTTACTGGAGTGAATGAAAGACAGATATTCTGAGCACCAAGACTGTGAGGCTGCACCACCACTCATAGGCCCTAGAATCCTTCCAGTACTGTCTACAGAAACAAACTTTCCGGTTGCTGCCTCCTGCGGGAGCTGCCCTCCTGACACTGGGCACCCAAGGGCTCCTCCAATCCCCCCACAGCCAGGGTGCGCCTGGGGCAGGCGAATGGCTGAGGCGCTGTCCCTGCAGCCACGGCCGGGGTGCCTCCCTGTGTTGCACTCTCAGCCAGACGCAGCTGAGGCTCAGCACGGTCACCTCCAGGCACCTGCCTGGCGCTGTGAGCCCGGTGCTGCTGCTCCCGCTCTGGTGGGACACGGTTGCCAAGGAACAGCCTGCGCACAGCCCTGAGCACCCTGCCCAACAGGCTGCCATCGTGCCAGGCCGTGAGCAACCGTGGCAGAAGATCTGTGGCCAAGGGGCTGTGCGGGCAAGAGGCAAGCTCCTGCCTGCAGCGCCGGCGCCCAGGGCTCTTGCCAGGGCAAAGCGGGCAGTGCATAGGTAGTGCTGGTGTCAAAATAGGTCTCGAGCCATTCCAGCACCTTCTGCTGGCTTGAGAGGGCCTCCAGTCCCTCCAGACCTGTCAACTCTGACTTCCCAATGTCTAGCTTGGGGTTTGCCTGGCAGATGAGAAAGGAGAGAGGGACATTTTTGAGGAGATCTCCCTCAAGGTGAGGAGGAAGAACTTCTTGACGCTGAGGGTGGCAGAGCACTGGCACAGGCTTCCCAGGAAGGTGCTGCAATCTCTGTCTGCGGAGGCATTGCAAAGCTCCCAGGACACATTGCCATGTGAGCTGCCTCAGGTGAGGCTGGCTTGGCAGGGATGTTGTAGTGGATGATCTCCAGAGGGCCCTTGCAAGCCTAAGGATTCTGGGATTGGGTGCTTTGTCAAGGTCTCCCGCTTTCCTCCGGCAAATGCGTGCCGGGCAGCTGGCGGCAGGAGCCGCTGGGACAGGGTTGTGGGAGGTGATGGGGCTGTAGTAGTGCAGTGCAGCGGCTGGCCCCAGGAGAGGGAGGCTCATCCCCCTGTCCCCTCTGATGCCATTCCCTCCCGTCCTTGGTATTTACCTGCCCGGCTCTGCCATCAAACCATGGCAGGCAGGCCAGATGGTCGTGGCCCGTCTGCTCTGGGAGCTCCTCCTCCTCCAGGCAGTGCTGCTGCCATGGCAGGGTGGTTTTGCTCCAGGAAACCCTGAGCTTGGGGCGGGCCTGGTGGCTGATCTCCAGCCCCTGTGCAGGCTTCGTCTTGCTTGGCACGATGGTTGGGTGGCTGCCGGTGCCCTGCAAGCTCTGTTGGCCAGGGAGCGCTGGCAGGCCGTCGCCATGGAGGGATGAGGCCCTGCCCAGGCTCTCCAGTCGCCACATGGGACTGGGTGTTGCCCGCCTGCGGGAAGGAAAGGGAGGAGGTGGTATGGCATGGAGGCAGCTGCCTTGGCACAGCATCCTCCAATGCCAGCAAACCCTGTGCCAGCCCTGTCCCACCGGCAGCCTCTCCCTCCTGCCCCATCCCTCACTCAGCGCTCTGTCTCCAGGCTCTCCTCGCGCAGCTGGGAACTTGCATTGTCCGAAAGATTCTCCATCTCTCTCTTTGGCATTCTCTGGCAGAGACGTGCCAAATCACCCAGGGGAGATGCTGCCTCCTGCGGGAGCTGCTTTCCTGGCACTGGGCACCCCAAGGCTCCTCCAATCCCCCCACGGCGAGGGGGGCTGGCCGCCGTGTCACAGTGGTCTCTGGGCACAAGGCAGCCCTGCGTCACAAAGCCCCAACAGCTCACCCCACACCCTGCTGCCGGTGCAGGCATTCCACAGCACAGACAAGAAACTGTAGAAAAACCTTAGAGGCCTTCATCCTTAGAGCTTCACCAGATAGAAGAACTCTAAGAAAGAGGGTTCTTAGACCTGGGCTCCCATTATGTACAGCAATATTCAAAATAAGGGATGAATACGATTATTACTTTCTAATATTACAACCAGGGATTCCTGTAGACTCTGCTATTAAGAGATAAGTACCTTAAAAAAATTGTTTTAATTTAAATAAACTTTCTGAAATCAGCCAAGAAATATAGTGAGTCTTGTCAAAAATTGTCATTTTTTATATTGTTTTGTGTATATCATAGTGCTTTCTTCCCTGATACTATAAGAATGGCAGGTTTTTTAAGCAGTTCTTTATGTTTGAAAATATCAGGGCTTAGAAAACAGATGTGTGTTACCTTTTTTAAATCTAAGAAGGCTGTTCTTCCAGTTCATACTTGGCTTAATGTCAAATGCCCTAAGCCAATATGGTCTTTACTTTTGCACAAAAGTACTCCTGAAACATGTGGTTGGTTTCATTCCCATTTTTATTTCCATTATTGTTATGTAACACATCTGTACTGCATAATGCTATGTTAAGTAGAAAAACAAAGTACAAGATGTTTTCAAAGTTATTGTTTCTGGTGGTTTTTGGATATTTTTTTTGATTATTGGTTCAGGCATTGCACAAAACATAATTTACAGCCTGGTAAACAGGGACCAGCATCAGAAAACTTTGCCCTCATCCTTGGGGTTGGAGAAGTCACAAAACAGTGTTTGCTGCTGTTTTGCCAACAGCAGTCATTTGTTTTAGCTGAATTTATTTTACCTTTGAACAAAGTAACAGCTGCAACTGTATGGAGGTTTCTTTTCACTTCCAGAACTTAAGCTGAATTTTGAACTGTAATATGAACAAATAAAGGACGGTAATATCTTTTTTAGCCATTGATGATTGGAATCTGTACCTTCCTTCACTATATAAAGGAAGAACAGAGCTGATATTTCCCTCTACATGATATGGGAACATTTGCAGTGTTCCTTTGCTCATAATACTTTTACATGTGGTGTAAAAGTGCTTTAAAGAGCAGTAAGCTTGGTTTTCAAGTCATTGTGAAATAACAGAAGAGCTACTGAAAGCACTGAAAGTCCTTTTCTCTACCAGCAGCTTCTGCAATTTAATGAAAGCTACCATGAGTATTTGTGAGTCTAATTTCATGTGTCCCAAAATGGGATATTTAATCTTGAAACATGCTAAAAATTAAAAAGCACAGAAAAATCAAGAAAAATATCTTTAAAATGAAGTTTCCAGAAGGAAGAAAAATAAGGAACTTTGTTTTCACTCTTTTTAACACAAACTTTAAAAATAAACTCCACTTGAATTCATATCTTTCCTCTTTGTGAGGTGATCCCCCATAATTCTTTACATTAGATCACAAATGCACTGATGGAACTTTGTATGAACTAATTAAATAATAATTGTGTCAGATACCAAAACTAAAAATAACTACAATGTGGAGGCTAGGACATTTGTCTGGTAAGTGGAATATGATGAGTAAAAGCTCCTGAAAAAAAGATCTGAAACACAATCCTCTATTTCATAGGACAATACCCTAACCAATGGGATATTGAGGAAAATGAGGAAAAATACCATATTTATTCTATAGCAGTTTTTTGAATGTAGTGCTTAATTTCTTTGGCTTTTATTGCAATTGTTGAATCATTTCTGTTTTTCAAAATAGTGTTTCAGTAGTGCAGTCTCATTTCATCACTTCTGAAAGTGCATTTTTGAGGAACAAGTGATGTAAAAGGAAAATACCATTTAGCTCAGCTTCTGAGTGATCTGATTGCCTTGTATCTTTCTGTTGTCTGGTCAGCATGTAAAATGTTTCCAAAGTTTGGGGTGCATCGCAAAAAGTTAGAAAATGTATTCCTTACAGTTAACTTTAGAGCTGATGAAAAGAGTTTTCAATATTTTTGGAAGACAGTGTAATATTTCAGTAAAAAGATTACAACTTTTCATGCTGATCAATGCATTTCATTTTTAAAATAATTGCAAAATAAACATTGTGGAGACTTCTCAATTTATTCTAGTATTTAAAACAAAACTGAAACTGAAAAAATATCCTGAAATATTGTAGAAATGGCTCCTAAGATTAAAAAAACCAACCAACCAACCTAAACCTCCCACTCTTTTTCCACTTGAAAAGGGTTTACATAATTGTCTCAGTTTAATGAGACTAAAGTGTTTTGCTAAGGAGGATGAGTTATGAGGAAGACCAAACTCCTCCCTCTAAGCAACTGTAAATCCAGAATTAAGAGGTTCCAATTCAGGAAGTATGAAAAAAGAAAAAAATAACAGCCCTTTATTAGAGGATATATGTGTATTGGCAGAACAACAAAAGAACACAAAAACAACTAAACAATAATCCTGTACCAAATAATCCCCTTCAAAAAGGAAACAGTTCAGAACGTTCTCCTTTTTGGAGCAATTCTAACCATGGTCAGCAGGGAGCGCCGTTGGATCACTGGAGGAGTAGAGCCTGCAGTTGCTCTGTGTTGGCCAGTAGGGGGCGCTGTTGGGCCCTGGCGGTCGCCACATGGGGGCCCCGGCACATGGTAGAAGCCAAAAATGGAGATCTTCCCCCCCACCAAGAAGGGGAAGGTGGAAAGGGGGGAAAAAAGGGGGCTCTTTCCCACTAAATTCACGCTGTCTGCAGCTGGCTGTGGCCAGGATTTCCCCTCTTTTGTCAACAGACACATGCCACTGCTAACACAGGAGGGGAGGAAAGAAAGGGCTACCTCCTCCCCGAAAGGTTCTTCTGCAGGTGGGTCAAACCTCTCCAATGAAGTCCGAGCAGGTCTGGACTGGGGGCAGAAGAGGGTGCAGGAAAACGAAGGCAAACTGGAGCCGGAAAGCAGCCAGATGACCAGGCCAAAAACAAGGCTACCTCGGAGTCTTTCCACTCACACCGCTCCCTGTGTCAGGGCAGAAGAGAAGTGATTGTCATTTCCCAAGGAGAGGGAAAGAACAACTCACCACCCCACCCCCCCAGTCTTCTGACAGTCTAGAATGCAGGCCTGCTAGTTAGTTCTTCTGTGTGTGTCAATTACCATAGGCAAACCCCTTCCACCTGCCTTGTTCAACATCTTTCTTTTACAGTGATGCAGGGGAAAGAAAAATTCCCTGCTTGGTTTTTTAGAATAAGTAAACCTATGACAATTATAAGACAGCATAAAAACAATATGTGTTGCTTTTTCTGTCTATCTTATAAATGTATTGTTTATCATGGGAAATTTAAGTTTAACCTTGCTGAAACTATGTCTACAATATTCAGAAATATAGAGAACTCCTTAATTCTAGGGCAGAACATGTGAGTGACGCTTCTGCAAAAATGGATGCTAGGAATATCAGAATTTTCATTAGTTTTTCCTTGTTATTTCTATCTCTTTTTCACTTTTTTGTTTGTCTGTGATTGTTTTTCTCTGTCATCTATTAACTTGAATTTTTTCAAGTTTTGTTCCAGCTTTACTATGCTATATTTTTGTTAAATTGTCCCTTTAAATAAAATAGAAATTAAGTTTTAACTCACACTCAGGGAATCATACATTTTCATGTCTGGAACTAGGCAATACAAACCTGTGCATCGTTCTTAAGATATGGCATGTCTAAGAGAATAGAAGATTTTTTTTTTCTTTCTGTTGAACAATATTGGTAATCCAACATGAAAAATATTGCCACTTAAGATTTTCAAAGAACCAGGTGATACAATTTCAGGGAAAAATACAAATGCTATTAAAGTCTATAACTATTTCCTCCTTACATATTGACCTAACTATGTTAAGTTCTACTTACCACGCTGGGTCTGTGATCTCCAGGTGGCATCATGGAAAGAGTTAAAAAAAAGAGAAGACCTGTTTTTTTGCTATAATCTTAATACAAAAAGGAGTGTTAATATTCCTTTAAAGGTCTTTTACCCTGTTTTGACCAAATAATTCTAGGAGCACTATTGTCAGTTCTATTTAAAAGTGTCTTACTGATAGAAAGTTATGAAAAAAAGTAATTGCATTGACCTGAGTGCTGGAAATTTGAGTGAGTTATGAATGATAGCCTGAGAAATCCCAATCAATATAAAAAGAGAGCTTAAAGATAATTTAACTGAAGCAAAGTAGAAACTTACATGGTTTAAATAATGTCAACAGAAAAGTTACTGTTTTCAGCTCAGTACACATGATAAGACTTTGAGAGTCATAAGTACCTAATTCCATCTCACGAATTTAGTAGTGAGTAAAGATTAAAGCTTACTGTCTCCACAGGGTGCTGAGCTCTTGATTCCTGTTTTTTATAACATCCAGTCTGGATTATTGTAATACCCTCTTCATATGCCTCTTTGATACAGTGGTTTGCCGTTCACAAGCTTCAGCATGCACAGATTACAACAACTCAGATTCTCAGTGGAATTGAACTATATCAACATCCTAACAGTCTTGATTGCTTTTTTGTCAGATTTAAAATGATTTTTAAAACATGCATGTTACCTACTTTTTTTTAAAACTTTTTTTTTAGACTAACCTACTGATTTCTCATTTTCTCTGTTTGCTGCATATTACAGTGATAACTGTACTATTGGCTACAGACTCTGAAAGCAGATGTGTCCTCAACATAACAATGAATATGGTGAGAGAAATCACTCAAACTGGGATAAATATTAGAAACTCTACATAACAAATTTCTTAATGCATGTTTTGCTTGTTCTCTTGTTCTGTGTTTCAGAGTGTGTCTGGATGTGGTGAAGTAACACTGAAAACTTGAGTATAAGACAATTTAGCCTTTTTTAAATGTAATTTTTAAAATTTAAAAAGTGTTATTGGAGAATAGCAAATAATACTTTATGTATCTATACATAGTTAGAGATATATTATCTATAATATCTATATAGTTATACTTTCTAATATGTCAAGGCAGTAAGTTAGTGAGCTCACTGTGCTACTAACAGTTTCTGAGAAGTCATGAAAATGGGAAGAGGTAGTAAATGATTGGAGGAAAATAATGCCAGTGGATAATAGAGATAACT